GAGCTCTAGTATTGAGTTTAAATTTTTTAACAATTAGAAAACATGAACCATATTAAAAATAGTTTTCATAGCTTTATTATCATATAAATATATTTATATATATATATATAAATAAATTTTAAGCTTATACAAAAGTTGCAAGGATAATGCATGTAATTTTTATATACTGTTTACTAAGATTCAGCCACTTACATTTTTGTCTTATTTGTTTCAGTTGTCTTCCTTTCTAGTCCTGAAATATTTGTGTGTTGGAGACAGTGTCTCCTTTCATCTCCTAAATATTTATATTCTCTAAGAATTAAGATAATCTCTGTCAGTCAGCACAGCAGTTACTTAAAATTAAGAAACTTAAATTGATAGAATTCTGTTAATCTCTAGTCTGTATTTTAATTGTCATTTATCCCTATAAGCCCTTTGTAGCTTTATCCCCCCCAGTCTTCAACCAGTCAGCCTTATACCTTCTTTTACTTGCCATGTGTCCTTTAAACTAGCACAGTTGCTCAGTTTTCCCTGTGTTGGTTCATTCTGGTGTGAGTCCCACAGAGCGATATTGTTCCTGCTTGTGTGTCTTCTCCCTCCAAGTGACATGGTGTAATGATGGACTAGGATGCTCTGTCAAGTTTCTTCTCTATTAGATTCTTTTTTACTTTGTCATTTATCTGTAATTACATATTTTATATGTTTTTGAAACTCCAAATAACTTGTTATCATGAAAGCTTCACCTGCTAATTTTAGCAACCACTGATACATTTTTTTTCAACTCACATTACACTACAGTTGTAGAACAAACTCTGTAGCCAGAAGCGTGGGAAGAGTTAAATTCATGAACTGAAGTACCACTGTTTTGTTGTTGTTGTTGTTTTTTAATTTTTATTTATTTATGTGTGTGTGTGTGTGTGTGTGTGTGTGGCCAGCTCAGCCCACCAGGGGGCGGGACTGGCTGGCATGTGGTGCTGGGGGATTGAACCGCGGTTCCTGCTAAGCTTGTTCTAAGTAGATGTTTTAGACCACTGAGCCATCTCACCAGCCCAATACCACTGTTATCTACATTTAGTACTTGATTTTCTACTGTAAAGAAGGACCTTTTTTTTCTTTTTTCTTTATATTTATTTAGTAATGGTTGTATAGATACAGGTTCTTTTTAGTTGGTGGGCTGTAATTTGTTGCTGTCATCTATTAATGCCAAGTTGCCCCATGTTTGATTGGCAGAGCTCCTTCCAGCTATTTATTGTATCCCACTGTCATAGGTCCTTTGTGTCTTAATGCAGTTTTTTCTTTGAGCACCTCCTTATTTTGCACCAAAAGATGTTCTAGGCCCATCTTGTGTATTCCCTGCTCTTGCTTTAACACTGTAACAACCATTTCTCTAAGAAGTTTTATTTATTTATTTATGTATTTTCAGAAAGGGGGGATTGAACTCAGGCCCTTGCGTTTGCCAGGCAAGCATTTACTCTACTGAGTCATCTGCCCGGCCCTGAAGTTTTAGATTTTAGAGTAGGTTTTTAGAAGGCAAGATTTGAGCTAGAACATGTTGTATCTGTTTGTCTGTGGGTATGTGTATAATATATATATATCTATATATCTACATCTATCTATATATAAACACACGCACATAGACACAACTGTGAACTCATATGTATACCTCCCTTTCTCATCCAGTATCATAGCATACCTTATAGTCTTCCTCTTTCCATATTTTCTTCAGGCCAGAATATACAAAAGGTAATTTCAGAATTGCTAACTAGTGCCATTGAGAAGAGCTGCCTAAGTAGTGTTCAATGCTTGTTTACAACTTTTTAAAAATACAATTTATGCACAGTGAAATATATGGTGCTAAGTGTATAATATAGTAGTTGTGGCAAGCACATATGCTCCTGTATCCCACATCTCTGTCAAGACATGGAATGTACCCACCTATTACCTCAGAAAATTCCTTTGAGTCGTGTGTGTGTGTGTGTGTGTGTGTGTGTGTATAGTCTTTTTTCGAATTTCATCTAAACAGATTTATATAGTATTCTATCTTTTCCTCTGCATTGTATATGTGAAATTTATCTGTATATTTAATGCATCAGTGATTCTTTTTTATCGCTAAGAAGTATTCCTCTGAATGATCATGCTACATATTTTGCTAATTTTCTTTTGATAGACGTTTAGATTGTTTCTGCTTTTAAATTCGTTGTGCTCTTTATATGTCAACTTGGCGAAGTTACAACCTCCATTATTCAAAGAAACACTACTCTGGGTATTAACTGAAAAGATATTTTGTAGATGTGATTAAAATCCACAATCAGTTACCATTGAAGGAGGAAAATTCTTCATACTAATACATGTTATGGCTTGAATCTAGATGTCCTCCCAAGCCCCATGCAGTCATAGACAGAGCTCTTGTGGTAGCTGGAAGGTAGCTGGCTCTGGAGTGTATGATGTTGGAATTGTGATGCTGGGACTGATTCAAGGTGCCATGCTGGGATTAAGGGTGCCCCACTCGAAGGATGAGTAACCTGTATAGAAGGGACAGAAAGAGGGCTGCTGTTACTGCTTATTGCTTGCTACCTGCTGCTTTTCGTCCTTCTGCCTGCCACGGACTGTTTGTCCTCTGTGATGCTTCTCTGCTGTGCCCCCCTGCCTTGAAGGCAGCCAACTATGGACTGAAACCTCTGCACACTGTGAGCCATATGACCCTTTTCTTTTTTAACTTTAAGTATCAGGTATTTTGTCTTAGCAGTGAGAAAAGTAAGGCAACATGCATGAGGCTAGTTTAATCAGTTGAAAGGTCTTAAAAGCAGAGGGAAAAAAAAATTACATCGCATGGACAGCAGCAGCTGCCTGTGTCTCAGTGCCAGCTTCCTGGAGTTGTGGAGCCAACTCCTTGTCATAGTGTCTTCATCTGTATCTCCTACTATGTTTCTCTGATTGCATCCCGACTAATGGATGGCTATCATGAATAAACCTATCATAGACATTCTTTTGTGGACATGTATTTTCAATTTTTATTGTGTAAATACCTGGGAATGGAATTTTTAGGCCAAAAAGTGAATATATGTTGCATTTTATAAGAAAGTGCAAAGTGTTTTCCAAAGTTGTACCATGTTATATGATGGCAATACAAGGTTCTACCAGTAGTCTATGCAATTTCTCCTTGGTCAGCATCCTTGTGCACATGTGGGGTCATGAGTCTTTCAGCCATTCTTCAGGTGTACAGTGATATCTCACTGTGGCTTTAAAGTGCATTTCTCCAATTACTGATTATGGTGATGAGTGTTTTGTTTGATTGCTACCCAGTGTGTATTTTGCAGTGTAAGGTGCATCCAAGTCACCTTCCCATTTTTCTAAATTGGGTTTTTGCTGTTTTTATTATTGTTGAGTATTCTTCAAGTATTCGGAACGTAAGTCCTTTGTCAGATACTAATTTTATGAATACCCCCTGAAGTCCTGCCTAAATATTTTCTTATTGATGTTGTAATAACCAGAACTATTTAATATTGATCCAGTGTAGCTTTCGTTTGGGTCTTTTGCTAAATTACATGATCATTATCCATCATTTATCCATGGTTATTTATCCATTCTAAGAAATCTTTCCTATCACACCGGATCTGGTGGTGTATGCTTGTTATTCTAACACTGTCAGGCTGAGGCAGGAGGATCACAAGTTTTAAGTCCAGCCTGAGCAATATAGTGTCTAAGCAAGATTCTGTCTCAAAATTGAAAATTAAGGGAGGCCAGGCATGTCTAGAATGTAGTTCAATGCAAAGGCCCTGGGTTCAATCCCTAGTACCAAAAAGAAAGATAGAAAGAAGGGAAAGAGAGAGGGACACAGAGAAGGAAGGAAGGAGGGGAGAAAGGAAGGAGGGAAGCAACTGTCCTGTATTTTATTTTAGAAATTTTATAATTTTATATTTGTCTGTGATCTGTCTCAAAATTGTATTTGTAGTGTAACAATTGAGCTTTATATTTTTCCTGTGTGAATGCATACTTGCTTCAACAGTGTTTACTGGAAAACGTATCCTTTCCTGAACAGATTGTTTTAATACCTTTGTTGACAAGCAGTTGACTGTTACAGATTCTGTGTAGTTCTTTTGATGTGTTGGTCTTTCCTTGAGCTAAGATCTAGTAAATGTTGAATGAGATAAATGAATGAGTCCTGTAATTGTTCTACGTAAATTCTTAGATGGACATACATTTCTTCTCAATTGCTACTTTTTAGAAAGTCTCCTGGGGAAACTGGGCATGGTGGCACATGCCTGTAGTCTTAGTACTTGGGAGACTGAGTCAGGAAGATCACAAGTTTGAGGCTAGCCTAGGCTACATACAAAGTTTAAGGCCAACCTGAACTGCATAGTGAAACCCTGTCTGTGGCCAGGAAGATAGCTCAGCGGCATAAGCACCTGCCTGGCAAATGAAAGGTCATGGGTTTGATCCCTGATACCTAAATAAATAAATAAGTATTCTACTGTGTTTATTTAGAATTAAGGTGAATCTGTAGATTAAAAAATAAACATTATGGCAATACCCCCGCACATACTGTATTTATTTGCCTGAGTTTTTACTTTTCCTCAGTGTTGTCCTTTACACCCATTGGGACATTTAGTCCTAGATATTTTCCATTCTTGACATGATGGTCATTGGATTTTTGAAAGTTTCTTTTGTCATTGTTCACTGCTAACATACAGAATTAACTTTGAATTCACTAAACTTATGAGCTCTTTTTTCTTTCATTGCTCTTTTAGGATTATTATATACCCAGTCAGGACACATCTTCAGAAGTGGACAGTTTTATCATGGCCCTCGGTCAAGTCAGGCATGTGTCCTATCACTGAGCTACATGCCTGGCCTATTGATTTTTCACATTCTTCATGTCTGTTACTTCTTCTCTTGCTTAACCGCACTAGTTGGGGGCTGTCAAGTACAGTGGCAGTGATGCCTTTGCTTTATTGTTGATTTAAGGTCAGAAGCTTTCACTGTTGAATACGAAGTGAATGCTCACAGATTACTTGTTTCAGGTACTGAGCAGTACAGTGAATACACTGGCTATGCTGAATCGTACCGCTGGGCCCGCAGTCATGAAGATGAGAGTGAAAGGTGAGTCTGTTTTCTGACTTTGGTGTTGCCTGGCTTCAAGTGAAAGTGTGTGGGGTTTTCCCTGCTGTGCTCTGTATCCCTTCTGTTCTTACCCAGCAATTGAATTTTCCTTTTAACTTCAGTATTATAAGTTGATTGGCACTTAAAACTATATTAATGCCAGTTGTGCTTGTGTACGCCTATAATCCCAGCACTCAGGAGACCAAGGCAGGAAGATTGCCATGAGTTCAAGTCTCGCCTGAACTACATAGTTCAAAAAGAGGAGGAGGGAATTCAGCTGTGATTTCCCCCTACCACCCCACCCCACTGTAGCTGTCATATTTATATATAGTCTCCATTTACCAAAGGATGAGACAGTAAGAACCAGACATCTATAGCAAAAACAAGGAAGGCCAAGTTCCAAGTCGGAAATTAATTTCTGAGTTGGAACTTACTTTGAATCAGCTGAAAATGGAGCTGAAAGCCTTTGGCCAGCTCATTTCACTATCCTCAGTTTTTCTGTGAGATTAGCTGGGTGGAGCTAATCTACTAATTAGCAACCTGCACTGTGATAGTTTGCCTCGTGCCACAAACCACTGCCAGCAGGACTTGCAGTGAATTCCCTCAGTGTTGTCACATTTCTTCTTGAAGTACATTTTATTTTTTTTTATACTTTAAAACTTTAATTTTTTTTAATTTTACACACACATGTTTTGGTTTTGTATTCTTATACTAACTCTATGAAGTGTTTTATGTTTATATACAACATATAAAATGAAATTAATACAATTAACTTTCTTATATATAACTACTGTAGAGATTTCTTAGATTAATTCTCTAATAAGTATTAGAATAAGTGAAATTATATGATTTACAAAGATCAATTAGTTGGTTAATATCAGAGATAGGTCTGACACTTAATGTAGTAACATTTGTACTATATCAACTTTTTTTTTTTTAATTGGTAGGACAGTTTCAATAAGTAACACGTTGCATACATTCTTCCTAGTGGTTAATTACTGTACAAGATGCGGACATGATATTCTATTTACAAACACCATTAGAACAAATCCCTCTATTCATTAAGAGAATGTAACTATATATCTATCCTAGCCACTTTGAATACACAGATACAAAATGGACATTCATCTGTATCCCTTTTTTTGTTAAGTTCCGTTATTTGAATATTATAGGTGTGTAAACTCAGCAAAAATATTCTAAAAGAGTCCAGTAGCCCATAATAGTATTGTGTCTTCCACTTGACTGGCAATGTCAGAAATTGTGACCTGAGTCCCCTACAGGTCAACATAACAGCATGGCTTTACTTCTTATATTTCTTTTTTATACTTTTCTGCTGGATGGTTAAGACCAAGGTAAAGCAGGACCTATGCAACAAGAGTTGTAGCTTTTGGGTCTGATAAGGTCAGTGAAATGCCCCAGGATTTATCCTGAGATCCTGTACCTCAGAATGTAGAACCTTTGTCAGTGCAGCCATGTGGATGAGTCACGGCCATTGCTTGGCCAATGTGTTCTCTGTGAAAGCCTAAGAGAATGTTTTCTCTCCATGTGACTCTCCTTAGGCACACTCTACGTCATCGATCACTTTCCTCTTTGGTCCCATAATCTCCTTGATCAGAAAATTTGGGACACTACCGAGTTACATGACGTTACAGTACAAGTTCTCACATGTCCTGAGTCTTAATTGACCTTGGAAGGCTAGGGCCAAAAAGTTGGCTTTCCTTGCAGCCCTCCTTTTTCTCTAATTTGGTGTGCAAACTTAGGTTGTTAACCATCCAGAAGACAAGCTTATTGTTATTACCATACAACTTAGGTTGTTAAGCTTAACCTCACTATCTGTCTGAACATCAAACATCTTAGGCATAATATGGAACAGGTATTTTTTCATCAAGTATTGATATGTTGAACTTTAAGTCCCTACAGAATATGATAAAAAAAAATTAAAAATTAGAATATATTTTAAAAATAGGCATAAAGAATTATATACTTCTTATGTTTACACATAAGTCAAAAAAACTAATCATATATAATCTTGAAGCAGGACAGTCCCACAATATTCCTTTTCCTGTCTCTTGCTTTCATTCACCACCCCCTTCTTTTTGAACAACTATCTACCCGAGAGACAGCATATTGAAGTATATTTTAGACTTTGAATTCTTGTTTCCCCGCTCAGTTGTGTCCTCTACCCAGGGCAAATTGTTTTTTAGTGAGCCATGTGGCAGAAAGAAGTTGGCTGTTGCTCAGTAGCCAAATCTGTGCCACACCATAGTCTTTGTAATGTCTCACATCAGCCTCTGCTTTCTTTCCTTTTGTGTAAAATTTGTGGCCACAGTAGTTATCTGTGTAGATGCTGCTCTCTAATTATTTACAGACTAACATGCAGATTTCTGTTGTTGTTCTCCAGAGTAAGAACAACATGTCAGTGCTTGGCATATCAATGTATAAAACTTTTTATAAAGAGGTGGAATATTTAGAATTTTGCACATTCCTAAAATTACTGTCCCAACTAGTATTTTGTATATCAACAATCATATTATTGTCTGCTTTGATGTCTTTTGTCTTTTAAAAATACTTTCTTGCAGTCAGCAGCTGAGCACAGTAGGTAAAATATGGCATTGAATTATTACACATTTTTCATAGCATATGTGCAGTATGTGTTGATGTTGATGCTACACACCAGTAATTTAGAACGTGTCTCTTAAAACAAAGTAGTGAACTATAAATTCCACATCCTTTGTACAAGAGGGAAACAAAGAACTTAATTACTTTTGTTTGCTTCCAAATCCTTTATTTAACCTTTGAGATTCACTGAAGTGATGTATATTTCCCAAATTTGTGTCTTGTTGCTTGATTTTTCTTTTTAATGCCTGGCAATGCACAGTGTGTTCATCTCTGAGTCTAAAAAGGAAGTAGTTTCTGAATCCTGCAGCCACAGATCATTTTTAATATTTTAATGCTGTCCAAGTGTCAATAGAGTGACCCTGCACAGGCTTTATTTGAAGGATGCTACCTTTTTCTCATCTTCTCCCCTTTGTGGCCTGACCCAGGGACGACTGGCAGCGCCGTTACACTGAAATTGTCGCCATCGACGCACTTCACTTCAGACGCTACCTCGATCAGTTTGTGCCTGAGAAAATGAGACGCGAGCTTAACAAGGCCAGTAACCTTATTTCTTAGTTCATCTGGCAGCTGTCATCTATTTACTGCCATTTTATTAATGCTGAAATTAATGCTTTCTGGTAATTCTTGCAGTGTCAGTACGTCTGCCCACAGCTCTCCTGATTTAATGGCCCTGTCAGCTTGTACAAGATGTACTTTCTATTTTGTAATTGTTTGATTACTGGCTGAGGTTGCCAGATAGAATGTTACTTGATGTCAAACCCCACACACGCATTTATCTCATCAGGTACTTTTAGCTGCTCTGGAGCATTGTCATTTTAAGGCCATCTAGAAATGAATGAGCCCTGGTCATTTTTTTCAGTGTCCCTAATGACATTTTCTCTACAAGGTATGGTGTCAGAATTAACACCAATAAACCAAAATGGTCAAATTAGTTATTTTCAGATATAGGTAAGAGTGATATGTTGTTTATGGATTTGGTAATTTGATATAGTTATGATGGAAGCTCTGGTACTTAGTGCTGGCTAGTACAATATGTGTATTATTTACAGCAATATAAAAATGAGCTGGATCTACTGTCAATTCACATTTTCATTACTACTAACTAGAACCGATATGCTCCATCATACAGTGGTGTGCTGAGTCCAGTGGGTAAGAGAATAAATTTGTGGCCTTGTGTGGTTACATATGCCAGTCCTGCCACTGGTGCTGCTGGTAATGATTGAAGGTGAACAGCCAAGTAATCCAGAAAGTCTCTGTTACCCTTTCAATTAAGTGGCTATTTTGAAAATAATTAGACTTATTGTCTTATATCCTGATCCACTTGAGAATCTAACATATTAACAGTTATTTTTTTTATTTTAATGATTAGAGATCTAAACAAATCTAAAAAAAGTTGGAAGCATTATTTTCCGAAGCTGAGCTTGTATACACGTTTTATAATTCCTCAGAAGAACCTTTCTCTGGTCTATTAACAGTTGTAAATTTCTCTGCTGATTCGAAGTTGGATTCACTTGTACTGTATCAAGTATCTCTCACTAATGCTGGGTTGGCAGTGCATGCCTATAATGCCAGCACTCAAGAAGCTAGAGCAGGAAGATCACTGCAGGTTCACAGCTAGCCTAACCTACATAGTGTGACCCTGTCCAAAAAAGCAAAAAAAAAAAAAAAACTTTCACTAGAAATTGGGTATATTTTAAATATAATTCTCCTTAGGGATGCAGCCTTGTGCTACAGTGCTTGCCTATATGTGAGGCCTTGGGTTCAATCCCTGGCATACCCCACTACAAAAAAGTAATAGATAAATATAAATTTGGTTTTGCTGCTCCAAATTCTTGCCTGAAAGCAATTGCTTTCAAGACCATGAGTCATGGTAGAGTGTATCAGGTAGACTAGGAAAGTTTGTCTTCACATTTTTGTCAAGTGTTAACTTACATATGTATATAGGAATTTGTCACATGGTCGTTGAAACTGGAAAGACATTTATCTATATGTAAACAAAAGATTATTTGTAGACAAATACAGGACAAGGAGGCAAAATGTACCTAACCCCATGGTGATAAAGCTTATTAACACAAGCTGAAAGATTACATTTTTATAAATAAGTCTGTACTCCTACATCTGCTCTCTAATAGGAGCTGGATCATTCACTTTTAAACATTATCCACAATTAAAATCTTTTTTTTTTTTTTTTTTTTTTTTCGGAACCGGGGATTGAACTCAGGCCCTTGCGCTTGCTAGAGAAGTGCTTATTCCACTGAGCCATCTCCCCGGCCCTTAAAATCTTTTTGAAAGGTAACCTTTGTACATAAATGAGTCTTCTATGTGTTTAAGCAAATAAAGTCTTACGCAACCCTGATATAAAATGTAGGGTAAGTAATTGCATAAATTGGAGCTGGCAAAATAGCTCAGCGGACAAAGTACCTGCTTAGGCAAGTGCAGGGACCACAGTTTGATCCCCAGCACTACATGGTGCGCCAACCCTGCCCCCAGGGCATGCTGAGCCGGCAAGAGTCTGGGCATAGTGCCACATGCCTGTAGTCCTACCACTGGGGAGCCTGAAAGCAGGAAGATCACCATGAATCTGAGCTGCACAGTGAGACCCTGCAACAACCAAATAGATTTAAAAAACGAATTGCATAAATCATCTCGTCACTCAAAATGTTAGCTATACTCTTCTAAGTATTTTCTGAGGGTTGGATAAAGCCAAGTAGGTCCATTGTCATATCAGGTGCAGAATAGGAAGCTGTTGAAGTATGGGTTGATTTTTAATATATAGTGCGGTTTTGTATTTGTGTTCAACCTGCCTTTATGTCAGTTAAATCTGATCTATAATGAATAAGATTCTTTTGTGTCAAATGCAAACAGAACTTGTTTTCAAATAATAGAAATTTCAGTAGTAAAAGCAATAAAATGATGACTGTGAGGTAGGCACTCTACTTAGCTCCTTAATGCTCCTTAATATCCCCCCGCTCCAACTGAAGTAACTCACAGTCTGGTGAGTACAAGAACTCCCTGGCCAGGCTACACCCCCAGTGTTTGTTTGTTTGTTTGTTTGTTTGTTTGTTTGTTTTGCAGGTAGGGAGATTGGTTGTTTGAGATCTCTCAAGTTCTTCATCTCAGGCCATCCTGCTTCAGCCTCCCAAGCAGCTGGGTCTGCTGGAGCATTGCTTCTGGTCCACAGGCCTGCTCAAACTTAATCCTCAGACCCAGAAGACAGGGATACCATTCTTATCTCTGTTGTAGAGAAAGTGGCCTGAGCCTTAGGATGCTTAAGTAACTTGTCTCAGGTCCCAGATCTGAGCAGCACAAGGCCAGGACTTACATGCAGAGGCATTGACTTGAGACCATCCTTTCCTTGTGCATGTGTGATGCTGCTGAGGATTGAACCAAGAGTCCCTTGCAGAATAGGCAAGTGACCAGTCTCTGAGCCACAGCCACAGCCCATGATGCTCCCATACAGAGGTTATTGTAACTAGGTCTGGCTTAGAGACTTGTTCACCTAGTTTATTCTTAAGTGAGACTGTACCTGCCTGCTAACATATGATCTCATACAAGCATACTTTCATCACCTCTTCTGTTGTGATCATTAACTTGACTGTAATCAAAGTACCCACTGACTCCCTTTTCCCAATATTTTTTACTATTTGATATACTTTTGCAGGCAATTCAAAATGATCTATTTATTTAATTCCTATGAGATAAGAAATTCCACAGGTGTAGTTTATAGCATGTGAGCTTGTATTTGAGAAGATGTTTGTTCATAGCCTGGCACATGGGGAAGTATGTGTTCTTTCACTTACTGTTGTATTCCCCAAACACCATTCTTTCAGCAAAGAATATTTTTCTAATTCTTTGAAAAAGAAGAAAGTAACATGATTTTGTTAAATATCATTGACAACTTAATGAAAAACCAATTAAAATAACTAGACTTTCTACATTAAGGCATTCCATTCCTTATTAGTTACATTTACCTATTTAAAAATTTATGAATTTTAGTAGTGCAACAGGAATTCTACATAAAACTGGCACGGTTTGGAAAAAGAGTTAACTTTTTATGTCATTATGTTTTGTAAATTTATTGTAAAGCAGAAGTCTGAATTAAATCACATTAGATGTCTTGATGTAATTTTTTTTTTTTGCATACCTGAAAAAAAATAGGGACAAATCAAAAAACTACATTTTTCTGAATGAATCAACAAAGCACAAGGCTACTTTTCAGCATCAGAATTGAGCGTGGCTTTCTGAGCTATAAAGGCCTGTTTGCTACTTCATACCAGATAATAAATGAAAGGGCAGTCCCACAGAGTGCTTTATTCCCCTGGAAGAGGGCTCTCTCCAGGCTCCACTACTCTATTGGACCCACATGCATTGTTACCTGTGGGTAGACTCGGTGTTTAATAGGAAGGAATCAGTCTTGCTGGTGCTGTGAAGCTTGTTTAATCCTGTGAAAGATCAGCCAGGTGACATTCCAGAAGAGAATTATGTTTGGCTTTGGAAAGATTTATGACTCCTCTTGTAAAACTGGCAAAACACTCTGCAAGGGAAGAAAGAAATCAGCTATGAAAAGTTGTGTGTAGCTGCATTAGGTTTCCTTAGTAAGATTTGCATAAGGTCAGGATGCAACCTGTTTTCTTCTTTCTCTGATTGTTTCGAGTATATTTCTGGGAAAATGTATGTGAAGCTTCTGAGAACTTCCAGCACCTTTCTTTAGGGACTCAAGACACTTTTAAGGTCACTGCCTTTTTCTCTTGTTTCTTATAATGGAACTCAGTTTCTGCTGTGAAAGAGTCTTGATTTATGGTTCTGCCCTGGCCTCCAACTTTTAAGAGATCTCTCTACTTCCTGGAAAAAGGGAAAGCCTGGGCTGACCCTCTAAAGAGAATTAGGCACAGCTTACACAACCAGCCCTCCATATCTTTGGGTTCTGCCTTTGCAGAGCCAGTCAACTGCACATGAGCAGTGCTCAAAAAATGTTTATCTTTATTGAACATATATAGATTTTTCTGTCATTATTCCTGAAGCAATACAATATAACAACAACTATCTGCATAGCATTTACTTTATAAGTAATCTAGAGATGGTTTAAGACTCCAGGAGAAATACCTAGGTTATATGAAAGTACTACACTATTTTATATAAGGGATTTAACTATTCACAATGTTAGTTTCCATGGGGGTGCCCTGCAAGCATGCCTCTAAAGGATACTTGGGGAACAGCTAGACTTCCTGTTTCTCACTTGTAAGTGATGAAATAATTTTGTACTTAATCATTTTAACTGGTTATTTTTATAAATTCTGTGTACTTCTATATCATTTCTTATTTTTAAAGTTTTGTCTGGTATTTGATCAGATCATTAAAAACAGTTAATTGCAGTTTCATGGCTTGTTTTTGTTAAGGTCATTTTTCAGAGAAATTCATCAATACCTTCTGTAATACTTTGCTTGTGATAATTTTAAATATTTCCAATGCTTCATTAAACTAAATATTTTTGCTCGTTGATACACAATTACCCTGTTTTTTTAGAGGCAACGGTAAGGAAGAGACTTTACTGTAGTATAAAATGAAGATATGAGAAGGAAACCAAAAACTTTTTGTCCACACAGGCATCTAAAACTATTGACAGCAACAGAATGGCAAAATTATATTGTCCTGACAAAGGGTTTGTTCTCCCTTTTGTTTGTGTAATGTTAGCTTCTTTTTTGACCAAGAACCTGCCCCCCCAAACTGGAACTTTCAAAAGATTTTTTCAGGAGCTCTATGCATCTGATTATGCAGGTGTTTGAGAGTTCCCTGTCAGCTGTGTATCATAGCACTGAATAATGCTCTGGCACCAACTCTTAGTTAGTGTCTGTCAGGATTTACAGCCCAGGAGGGGTAGAAGAAACAGCCTTGTTAATCCATCCAGACGGTGTGTAAAATAAATTTTTATGCTCTTGCAGAAACTTCCAAGATCAATTTATTATATTTGTATGTGTGAGTTTCACAGAAGCATCTTTATCCTTGATCTTTCCATGGGAACATCTGTCACTGATCATTCCTTTAATTGTATTTAAATATGTAGGTTATATTTTTGGCCTGTGTATGGTACCTGAGAGAACTAGGGGAGCTTTGCTTTTATATTAAACTCCTAATATAGTAATCCAATAGCTTAAGAAAGTTAAGCCTTTAGAAGCAGAGAGACCACTAAGTTGACAACAAAAAATTGATAATGAGAAATTCTAGAGCCTTAAACATACTCTTCAGGTACAGAAAGAGCTGTTTGCTTAATTAATAGGTAGCCTGCATCCTCAGGGCAGAGTGTACTTCCCTCACTCTGGGCAAATTTTTAAATATTCCAGTTTAAGACAGAACTGTGAAACTAGAAAATTCTCAGACTAGAGGGCATTTTAAATAAAGATGATTTCATACTCAGGTATAGGAATCCTTTTTAGAGACAGTTGCTTGCTCTTTGTGTGCATTCCAGTGGCAGGAAGCACACACATAACCTAATCTAGTCCCAGTGCCTCAGGGGAGACAGTGCTGGGTGGCGTGAGAGTTAACTGTCCTGATGATGGGAATCAGAACCCTTCAAAGACAGCTGTGGATCAAGCGCCTTTCCTGGTAGTTTTATGTTTTATCATAGGGATCTTACCAGTTCTTGAAATATCTCTAGCAGTGTCCTTTCTATTTATTTGAAATGGAAAAAGAAACTTGAGACCTGTATTCATTCAAAGCATTTGATTGTTCTAATATCAATGTAGATAAATATCAGAATCTGTCATTTTTATTCTCTTCCTTATATAATCCCAGGCATTTCTTCTCTTTGTTTTCTGCTCTGCTTTGGCCCTATGAAGGTAAGATAAATGAGAGGGAGCAGACAGAAACTGGATAATGGAAGCTGATCCCGGGGCATCTGTCAGAAGCACTGCTACTGTCTGGGCACTCATGTGCTGTAATGTGTCTTTCATCCTGCAGGCTTACTGTGGATTCCTCCGCCCTGGCATTCCTTCAGAGAGCCTCTCCGCAGTGGCCACAGGAAACTGGGGCTGTGGTGCCTTTGGGGGTGATGCTAGATTAAAAGGTGAGTTGTACAGAAAGATAACAACATGCTGACCAGGAAAAAAGCTAGTCCTTCAAGCCACATTTCTAACATAACACATTATGTTATTAGAGACTAGAAAAGCCTAAGAAAGAAACACTATTTGATACCATCCTTTTTTTTAATGTTTGAAGGAATTCTTAGTCTTATTTACCATTTTGTGCAGAGGTTTATCTCTTTGATCCATCAGACACAGGATTTAATTGAATATAGAAAGTTCAAGGGGAAGGGAGAGTCCAAAGAAACTGTGAAATTTCAAATCAAACCACCCACTCCAAACATTTTCCTTTGCTTGCAAAGATTTTTATTGGCAGAGCTATGTCGCAACTCTTTCCTTCACTAAACTGATAGGCCGTCTGGCATGTTCTGGGCACTGCTGGCACTTAGAATCCAAAGGTATATAAGACATGGCACCTGCCTTGAGTACAGTCAGGCCAGCAGGGACACATGGTGAAGAGCACCGTGGCTGCAGTGGAGTTGTGTGCTACCGCCTGAGTTGTTGCCGTGGGCTGAGAGTAAGAGTTGCCTGTGTGGCCCAAATAAGGAGACCTAGGGGTGCTGAGGAACAGTATCTTCTCACTGTATGTGGCAGGAAAAAAAAAAATCACAAAACCTGACTAACAAAATTAGTGGCCCCTTACCAGATTGTGACATTTGCTCTACTTTTGAAGGTATCATTTCTTAGGATTGTTTACTGTTCACTTCGGTACAACTGACTCAACACCAACAGGTTTTGTGCAGTGCAGTTCTGACCTGGAGTTAGGGCCAAAAACATAGTTTAGGAGCAGGGCCCACATTTTAGACTGTAACCCTGTATCTGAGGAGCCTGGGCCCTCAGGTTTGGTAGGACTAGAGTGACTCAGAACTCTTAAGCCCTGTCCTTACAATAGTTATTTTAATGTGAAGGACACACATAGGGTTAAGCTTGAAGAGGATGCAGAGCTTTGACAGCCTTCCCATGGCCCCCACACATCTTTGTTCAACCAGGAGCTACACCAGCCTTTAGTGTTCAGCAGTTTTACTGGACTTTGATTACATGAGCATGATTGATTATATCATTGACCATGTGATTGAACTTGGTTTCCCTGGAGATGGGGCTCTCCCATCACCTCATTAGCATAACAAAGACTAGAGCTGCTTAAGCAGTTCCAGGGGTTTTTAAAGCTGCTGCCAGGAAACTGGGACAAAGCCCAGATGAATGTTATTTTTATCAATGTAACAGTAAAACAATGAAAGCAAACATGGCTTTGATATCCAAACTAGATAGGATAAAAATCTATCTCCTTGGGAATAGAACAGTTGAGTCTGTGATAATATAACTGCCCTCACCCCAATGATAAGAGCCCGTTACTGTTTTTGTAAAAATGACAGTTACTGCTTTCAGTTATCCAGAGAAATACCATAAATATGTAAAAATCACCAGAATTTGCTGTTGATATTTTGGAGTCCATCCTTTTGGAAATCTGTGTAACAATGCATATAACTCTTGATATTTATGAGGTCACACTACATATTATTTATTTGAAAACCCTGCAGTCTCTTGAATGGTTTTCAAGTTCAAGTGTAGATGTGACCAGTGTAATAAAAAATATAGTTAATGCTATGTGGTTTCTTTCTTTCTTTCTTTTTTTTTTACAGTAAAAGATGCATCAACATTAATTTTCAAAATGTTCCCCCTCATTTCAAACACACTTGTACCATCATTCTTGCTACTTTCTGGAACAGTTCTGAAAGTCCTCTTTTATGTCTTTAGTATACTATCCTGTCTGCCTTGATGTCCTGACTTGATTCAAAATATTTATAATTTCTGTCAAATGAAAACATTACAGTATGTCCTTATCCAGCCTTCATCATATTTGGCACCATTCAACTTCTGCCTCTTCCACAAAGTCAAAATGAAACACAAGGGAAATATTGTTAATTGCTTCAAAACATTGAGGCAGCCCCAGTGCAGCTAAAGATGACTTCCAGACCTGCTTCAGAAAGTGGCAAGAATGATGGCATAAGCAAGGAGGAATTTTTTGAGGAGGATTAATGTTAATGTGTCTTTGTAAATTTTTTTTAATTCAAACACCATATTTTTTATCAGCCCTTGAACTGTCAGCATATTAATGGCTTGCATGATATATACGTATATATCATAGTCTCCATTCAGGGATAGTTGTTTCCTTTGTCTTGTATTATAAGCAATATATAATTTTACATATAAGCTATCTCCCTAGAGTTAATTAATTAAAAGTTAGTAGCATCCTTGATTCACATTTTCACAGTATAAATTGCCCCTGGAAGGCGGTGTCACTTTGTATTGTCTTCCTTGCCTGAACAGCCTCACAAAGACGACTTGTCAATCTTTTCAGTTTCTCTGAGATGTGAGAATTTTCATGTGTTTTGTTGGACATTTTTGTTTGTTTAGGGAGTTGCTTTTTGATGCCTTCTTCCCATTTACCTCTTGAGAGCAGTTGATTTTTTTAATAGCTAAAATTACTGTATGTTAAGAATTGACAGGGGGCTGGAGAGATGGCTCAGTGGTCTAAAGCACCTACTTAGAACAAGCTTGGCAAGGCATCAGGGACCGCGGTTCAATCCCCCAGCACCACATGC